CATGGCATCGGACCTGGATATCTCCGAGACCGCCTTCTGCCTCAGATTACCTCCCATCGGCCGGTACGCTCCCACAGAGTGGGTCTCCTCAGGGTGCCGTCAGCCAGACAGTGCCAGCTGGCGACCCCCAGGGGGAGGGCCTTCTCGGTGGGAGCTCCCACCCTATGGAACGAACTACCCCCAGAGATCAGGGTGATCCTGGATCTCCCTTCCTTCCGCCGCGCCCTTAAGACATGGTTATTTCAGCTAGCAGGACTGGCCTAAGGGGTAATTTTTAGCTGGGTTTTAAAATAATTTTTAAAATAACAAAGGCCAAATTAATATTTCCTTTTAATTATGTTTTTAATGATAGTATTTTTTGTATTTTTGTATCTGTTTTTATTAGGCTGTTAGCCACCCTGAGTCCGCAAGGAGAAGGGCGGGGTAAAAATACAATAAATAAATAATAATAATAATAATAATAATAATAATAATAATAATAATAATAATAATAATAATAATAATAGGCACCTACATATTTACATAGACCCTTTATTTGGGGTTCAGAATAAAATAATAATAGATTTATTCCAAAGATATTCTGAAATAATTTTGAATATAATATTCACTTACTACATGGATGACCTAAAACCTTCACATCATCAATAGCCAGGTATCCTTGGTGACCCAAAGTGGTAACTTCAAAAACTACCTGAAATATGAAAAAGCAAGTAACATAAATAAACCTAGTGACAGATTTATGCTTCTGAAATGTTAGCAAAGTACAGCTACTTATTCCTTTAACCCAAAATGAATCTTGCAAGTTTACCAGATGGATGGCATAGGGAACAAAACTATTACAGAATTGGGTAGTCCTGCTAGAAATACTTCGAAACCTCCTCCCAAAGGGGAGCAACAGAAACAGACCATAAAGTGGGCGTGTGGGGTCTCTAACAATGCTTTAAGCTCTAAGCACATGGCCCTTACAAGCACCATCCTGAATACCAGGGAATGAGCTTCCTATGATCTTCTTGGCTGTCCTTACCAATCTCTGTATGGACTTTCTATCTGAGGCACTGCTGCCACCAACCAGACAGTGATGCAGTTTGTTAAAATGCTTTCAATCGTGCCTTTGTAAAAAGTGGCCAGGACAGAAGGAAAAAGATGTGCTCTGGTCATCTGACGTAGGAAATGCAGATGCTGGTTTGCATGTAAAATAATGCAGGAAAAGATAGGAATCCAAATATATATTCATCAATAATTTTACCCATGCACAGGTTTACTGGCTGTATCATTATTTTCAGCCAAGTTTATTATGCAATACCTAATTCAGTAAATAATTATTCCTCCAAACATTTTGTGTTTATCTAATTTATACAAATTAGATTAAATATTAGGCTAAGAATTATTTGGCAGAGCATATTTTTAGGCTCAATATGCAAATTTTCTTCCACAGTAATATCAACTGAACAACAGTATCATATAACATTTATTTCACCAAGGTACTCCCCAGATATTTCCTGGTTGCTTTAAAATTATATTAAAGAAGAATAAAATATTGAGGAAAGACATTACAGTTCTATCCTACTCATTAATCTAATGAATTTTATCAGAGATCAAGGTAATATATTACAATGAGTCTATAATATAATTTATATATTATTATTCAGTATATTATTGGTATAAAACAAGAAAGAAAAATCAGACATTGTTTAGCCAAGGAGCCTAAAATGTGACAGTGTGATGGAGTGAAAGCTGGCAGATAGTCCAAAAATTGTCTTGATATGCTAGTAGAAAAATTCAAAATCAGTGATCTGGCATTACTCCCATTACATTCAAAATAAATGAATCGGGCAATTGTTCCTCCCCCTACACCTATTCCCAATAAGTAATAAAATCTCTATACTTATTGGGGAAAGTCCCTGGCTATAAATCTTGTCATGACACAATTTTCAGCATAAATAGTAATTAATCAACTAATAAGAAAATAATTTTATATCAGTGCAATTGTGCAAATATTTCTCTGAATCAATAGCTATGATTTTCAGGAAAGCATACAGAACGTGCTGAAAAGGAGGGGGAAACCAAGTAATGCATTCTTTTTGTTATTTCTGTATATTTATCAAATTTCAACTATACTGCATAGAAATACAATAGTCATGGGGCTTTTTATTTTTTCAAGAGCTGCTGTAGCTCATGGATAAGGCACTCACTGATTATTTTTGTATATTCCTATTAGCTGACTAGAGGATACTCTTAGTTTATAGTGTTTTATACATTCCAAAGTCAGATTGAGCAAGATATATAGTCAATTGTAAATATTTGAGTGAATTGGGTTCTAAAAAAGGTTCCTTGTGAATGTGTCCTTAGTTAAATCAATGAAGAGTCTAATACATTTATTGTGGCATAACTTTTACAACCTAAGATATGCAGATGATACCACTCTAATGGCAGAAAGTGAAGAGGAACTAAAGAGCCTCTTAGGCCATGGTTTTCCCAGTTGCAATGTATGGATGTGAAAGTTGGACCATAAGAAAGGCTGAGCGACAAAGAATTGAGGCCTTTGAACTATGGGGCTGGAGAAGACTCCTGCGAGTCCCTTGGACTGCAAGGCGTTCAAACCGGTCAGTCCTAGAAGAGATCAGCCCCGACTGCTCTTTAGAAGGCCAGATCCTGAAGTTGAAACTCAAATACTTTGGCCACCTAATGAGAAGAAAGGACTCACTGGAGAAGGGCCTAATGCCGGGAAAGATTGAGGGCAATAGAAGAAGGGGACGACAGAGAATGAGGTGGTTGGATGGAGTCACTGAAGCAGTAGGCGTGAATTTAAATGGACTCCAGAAGATGGTAGAGGACAGGAAGGCCTGGAGGAACGTTGTCCATGAGTTCGCGATGGGTCGGACATGACTTCGCAATTAACAAAAACAACAACTTTTACATTGTAAAATGTTCTATATTCTATTCCCCACCAACACTGACAGGGCAAGCCACTAGATTATGAACCCCATTCCTTACTAGTTTGATGATATTATCTAGTTTGGGTAATGAGACATCTGCAAGAAAACAACCAAGCTCAGAGAGTAGCAAGGGCTCCTCATATTCTTTTTTAAAATAGGACCTTTTTGTTGTAACTGACTAATGCTACTTTTGGAAAGGCTTAGACAAAACAAGGAAAAGAAATGCTAGAAATATTTGATGTTATGTTCATGGTGATGGTTTATTATTTCCTATGCGATTTTGTAACAGTGTTAATATTTTCACTGTAAACTGCCCATTTTTAATTTCAATATCGCTGAAACATCTGACATGGAAATCACTCAGCAGATTAGGCAAAGTACCTCTTTTGAATAGAACACAGTTTCTCTGATTCTTCTTGATATACTAGCCGTATCAGCCAGGAAAGAACTGGTTAAAAGACAGATTACATTTCTTCATGAAAAACAAGCACTGGATGTCTGCCTTAAGAGTTGTCTTACATCAGTCTATTCTGTAGATGCCTGCCAAACAGGAAATAGGGAAGCTGTTTAACATTGCACTGTCCCTGATCCTCCCTGCTTCAGTGAAGAGCAAAATTAGCTTTTCATTCCTGCCACTTCTCCCTTCTCAATGGAAATGGGGGAGGGGGCTAACTTGCCACCTTAAGTGATTACTGCTGAAAATGCGCTAGTACTATATAAATAACTAGTTAGAACAAAAGGAATAAACATATTTTTTTCAGTACATGACATCATGTTCTAAGCAATTAAAATTCTTGTAGTTCAAAGGCGAATTGTACCTAATCATAAACTTAATTTATAATCATGTATTGAGAAAGAGTAAGAATTTACTTACATCAGTTTGATTAATTAAGGCACTTATATAAATACATTTAAAATAATATCAAATAGAAAATTTAGTCCTTGGATTATTTAACTCGCATCTTGTATGTCCCCTAATCCTATACAACCATTCTACATATCTACATTTTATGTACGCATTTCACATTATGATTTGTACTTCTATTGATAAAGAAGAATTTATGAGACTAATATCAACTATAGCCTCCAACAAAGATGTGATTTAATACAAACAGTGAAAATTGGGCTTATGTAATTATGAAGTTGTTTGTACTGATTTATTTTTCAAGTCCATGATCCCAAACCTATTTATTCCATAAGGACTTCAACAACTCCACAGTAAATTGCTTGTCAGTTAAGACCACTATTTTGTTCTATTTTTATTCTCAAAGTCTCTGTCAGTATTTTTAGCAGTGGTGACTGAATCTCACTGATTCTGTTTCAATCAAGTGTCTGTTTACTATTGGATGTGCACATAAATCTAAGGGATGGCTATTTTTAAGCAATGCATAAGCTATTATAAGATGACTTTTTCTGAATTCCAAACAGAATGGAGACTTTGTCTAGAGGAAGCTAAATGAAAGCATTATAATCCTGCAGTTTCAACAATAAATCTATTTTACTTATATTAAAGTTATGTTCACAGCACTTCTGTAACTTAAAAGGAAATAAGACTGTATTTCACTGCTTGAAGAGAGCTAAGTTAGACTTAAACCAAATTTGAATTAAAATTTAAACTACATTTGATATTAAGCACTCAGTAAATATCAGGCATCTCACTTACTTTGGCCATGTCATACAGGGAAATTCACTGGAGAAAGAAATTGTGTTTGGAAGAGTTACTGGTAAAAGGAAACCAGGCAGCCAAAGAACATGGTGGCTGGATACTATAAAAGCTGACACCAGCAGAGCATAGAAAAACTCAAAAAAATAGTGCAAGTTTGGAAGATGTGGAGAGATCTGGCCCATAGAATTGCCAAGAGTAAGACTCAACTGTATAGATAACTTATCATCATCATATATAAGGCAATACACAAGAGTTAAATATTGATGTGAAACCCTGGAATGTCTAACTCCCTAAGCCATAGGCGTCAAACTTGCCACATCACGTGACGTGTTGCGACGTATCGTGACTCTTTTTGCATTGCAGGCAATGGGGTGGGCGCGGCTTCAGTATGATGAAATCGGCCTGTGGGCCAACAGTTTGACACCCCTGCCCTAAGCACTTCATTTGTAGAAGCAGCAATAAGGCTCAGAAAGTTTAAATCTAATTATCATTAAGTAAGAATGAAGCAGGAGTTCTCCTAAATATCTTTCCTAGAGACTAAGCTATACTGAGTTCTTATTTTCAAGTAAATATGATTAAACATGCAAAGAAATTAATGTAAGAAAAAAGCTATTGTGGATCTGTTCATTCTTTATCATTCATCTTTACTGAATTATAATATTCTTCAATCAAAAAGACATATATACATACATACACACATACCCAACCCTATTTGTTTTTAGCTATAGATTTTGAGATTCATAGGATTCATATTATGTTTGCTTTTCAGCAGCCTGTTTTCTTTTATGTAAAATATAAAATAATGGTCTATACACAAAAAATATGGCGTTTATTTTAGAGTTATGCAGACTAACAGCCATCAGGACTGATAATTGAATCAGCTAGACGAATGGAAATAAAAACCCATTCTATGTAAAAGTGATGAAAATGCCAACTATCTCTTCTAAAGCAGAAGAAACAAAAGTTATACCAACTAAACAAAGATGGATCAAAGAATTTTAAAAAATAAGAAATAGAAGAGGTGTCTTGAGGTTATCCATTATTAACCAGCATCTGGACATAAGAATAAACAGGTAAATAGATCATACAGGACTTCCCTATTATGCTGAGATACATTTAAATTACATGTATCAGGTTTATATTAAATTCATGTAATATCAAATTCTATCCATATCTAGCTAGTTAGCAAAAACAGCAGATGTACATTTTTCAAGCCATTTTTATAGCGATGCACTTTTAGTGTGCAACTCGAAGAAATCTCAACTTATGGAGAACTTACTGGTGGACCACTTACTGATGGACAATCTGTAAACAAATCATTAAGAAGAGATTAAATAACTACCTAGCTAAAAAACTTAGATTTAAATGCACATGAATTAACATGAAGGTTAGAGCGATATTGTTTCATATAAGACATGGTTTAGAGAAATAATTAATAGCTACAACACATATCTTGAAAGGAAACAATAACTATGCTCACAAGGCCATGCATACTAAGAAGCATTTCAGTAGAGACTTCTAAATATAGAGATATAATACACCACAACATCTACAGAAGTGTGACATACACTGCTTTTAAGATTCCTGGGTCTATTCAATAAGCATTAGTGGGAGTTATCTGCCTGTATTGTCTTCAGAAAAAGAAAATCTGAAAACAAAATAAAATTATTTTTCAAATAGAGAAAATAGTATTTTGTAAAATAAAGAAAATATTTTATTGGGCACCTGAAGAATACCATCCTTCATTCTTTTAAAGAAGGTACTTATTTACTTTGTAAATAATTTTATACAATATTTTACATAGCTAAATAAGGGCATTAGTTACGATATAAATTGACTGAACATTGAAAACAGAGGAAGAATGAAAGAACCAAAAAGCAATACCTGGTAAAAGTTTGGCCAAAACGTGCTGACTGCCAATTCCACTCTATTCCAAATGCCAATAGGAGCGTCTGAGACATTCCAAACTGGACTTCCAAGCTCACCATTATTAACCTTCACATAAACATTCAAAATTCCCGGACTGGAACCACTCTTGCTGGAAACAAAAAAATTGAAATCGATGCAATGTGTGTCATTTTCCTTTAGTTGTGGTAGCAAAAGATGGGCTTTTTGGCCAATTCTTTCAGTAGTGTTCACCAACATGAAAGATCCTGCAGAAAATAAATAAAAGAAAATAAGTAATTGGTTGGAATTTAGATCTTTTTCCACTCCCAATTTCTTCTTTTTTTGCTGCCATGCAATTTTTGCTGTTCTATGGAAATGTGAAAAATGGTTTGGATTTGAAGCATTTTAAGGATGATCATTCCAGAAATGATCAGAAAAATGTATGTCAATTTGAAATGGCTGATTTAAAATACTGAAAATGTTTTCTGTAACCTTACTATCATACAAATTATAATATACTATAATTATATATTGTAGGCTGATATTGTACTAGATTCTGTAATAATTTCAAAACAAGGTAGAATAAAATTTACTCTGGGAAACAAGCAAATATATTATTTTCTTAAACCACCAAACTAGAAGTAAATTTCTTCCTAGTTTTGAGTATTTCCCCTGATTTTCTGTATCTGTTCATTAGAAGGAATAAAACAATATTTTCGTTTTAAAAAAGTTGTAGAATTCATAAGAAACAACACAATTTACTCTTGCTATCATTGTGCGGATCAATATAATCCATATAAGACATATTATAATACAAGGTGTGTCTTATACAGTTAACTAGTCCTCAGTTAACTAGAATAATTGGGATGTCAGGCTCCACTGTTAAGAGATACAGGGATAAAGTGTGATGTCATGTGATTGTGCCAACTTACAACAATAGTTCTGGCAGTCTGCTGGAAGTGAATCCCATGCAGTCATTAAAGATGACATCATGCAATCACCATGTCAGAACTTGAGAGTGAAGGTTACAAATGGTGATCCTGCTTCTGTTGTAGTTTGTGAGCTGGCTACCAAACCCAAATCACAATCAATGACTGTGGGAATGATGCCACAGCTGTAACTTGAAGAACCAGTCCTATTGTATCTTTGAAAGGTTGTTGAATGAATAGTAGTTAACCAAGTGTACTGCATGCATAGTTTATTTTTCAAATAGTTTACATAAATAAATGCAGAATACTGTATCAGAATCAAATGGCCAGATGAACTACATATGCACTCAATGACATGTTCTACAGAATACATAACTTAAATTATATATAGAATACATAAGACATTTTTTCTGCAATGCTGTTTCTTGTTATATCAGAATTTGGATATATGCAGAATTATTCTTCCATATTAAAAATGATATGAATATTAATTTAAGGTTCAAAATCTAAAAGTGTAGGAATATGAAGACTGCAATATCTTAGGCACATTTATTTTGGACTACTAGTCTTAAGCAGACTTGACTAAACTAATATGCCTAGTAACACAATACTCTGATGCTATGATCTAGGCGTAAGGAACATGGAATACTAATTGAACCTACTGAATTGGACTGAATTTGTGAAGAAGGGATCAGTATGAAAGCAAAAGGTTTCATCTTCTGTTTTTACACAATGGCAATGTACACCCTCCAGTACCCATTGGCTATGTTGCACACATTGAAAGAAATATACAAAAACATGAAACGGTTGTTGAAGCATATGCAGTAAGTCATTCTGAAATTATATTTGTGTTCAGTTTGAAGTAGTCTATCATAATCACCAAAAGTTTTTCAGGAAGCAAAACTTTTAAAAAATGGTTGCCCGGTAATGCTGGTGGCACGGTGGTTAGAATGCAATATTGCAGGCTAACTCTGCCCACAGCCTGGCATTCGATACTAATGGGGCTCAAGGTTGACTCAGCTTTCCATCCTTCCAAGGTCAGTAAAATGAGGAGCCAGATTGTTGGGGGAAATATGCTGACATTGTAAACTGCCCAGAGAGTGCTGTAAAGCACTATGAGGCAGTCTAAGTGCTATTGCTGTTGCCATTTTGAAATACTAATACTGTTTATGATGTAGCTAGATTAAAGCCTTTGGGATGTCTTGTTGCTACTGTTATCATATAGGAAAGGATAACATAAAAATGTAAAGATGGAATTACAGTAAGAATATAGAATATATGAAGCATGAACACAGGAAAGCTCAACACAGTGGAAGTTGAAATGAAATGACTACAAATTGACATCTTAGGCATCAGTGAATTGACATGGACCGGGACCCTTTCAATCAGAAGATCAAAGTATTTATAATTCAGGACATGAAAAACAAAGATGAAGTAGTGTTGCTTTTATTGTTAAAAAGGTATAGTAAGAACAGTATTTAGCTACAATCGAATAATAATATCAATTAGATTTTGTGATCATGCTTCATGCTCCAGCTACGGATACAGACAAAGAGGAAGTTGATAGCTTCTATAATAAAGTTAAATTTGAAATTGACAGAACATGGAAGCAAAATATGCTGCTTGTGATTGGAGATTGGAATGCCAAAGTTGGAACCATGAAAAAGGAAAATGTAGCTGAACTGTATGGCTTAGGAAACTGAAATGAAGCAGAGTTAATTTACATATTTCTGCCACTCCAATTATTTTTTCATAGCTAACACTATCTTCAAACAACCAAAACTATGCCTCCATACATTGGACATCACAAGAATATGTAAAAATCAAATTGTCTCTATTATTGCTAAAAGGAGTTGAGGGAGTTCAATTATACCATGAAGCTCTTGGCCAGGTGCTGATTATGGAACAGATCACAAACTTCTCATGTACAAGTTCCAACTTAAGCTGAAGAACAACAACAAAAGAATAATAAGAAGAAATCCAATCGTTTCCATGATATGAACCTAAACTTATACCCACTGTTTTTAAGGAGAACATCAGGAATTGCTTTCAAGTCCTGAACTTCATTGACAGAGAACCAGATAAATTATGGAACAAAAGACAAGAATTTAACAAATTCCTCAGAAAACAACGTCAGAGAGCTGTTTTCTAAAGGATATCAATGGACAGTAATGAAATCAAAGGAGATCAAATGAAAATGGAAGGAATATACAGTAGAGATCTCAACATCCAAGATATTTTAGAAGATATTCCTTACCCACGAGGGCTTCTAGTATTAGAAAATGAAGTTAGATCAGCAGTCTGGTCATTACCAAGTTGGAAGGTTACACAAATTGAAGGACTACTCCCTGAAACATGGCAAGCAGCAGAAAAAGGAGTAATAAATGCTCTAACCATGCTATGCCAGCTAATCTGGCATCAACGTAGTAACCAACTGATTGGAAGAGGTCAATCTACACTTTATTTTTCTTCATAGCATTTTCCCACAAGTGCAGCATTGCTTTTTTGGTTTTTTGGATAAATCAAATCTTGATCTATTGTTGCAACGGGAATTGTTGCCCAAGCTTGACGTCATGGGCTGAGAGAGAATGACTGGCCCAAAGTTGTCACCCAGTCAGCTTTCATGCCTGAGGTGGAACTAGAACTGACATATTCCTGGTTTCTAGCCTGGTGCCTTCACTTCCATTCCAGTGGCAGTTTTAAAATCCTTAGTTTTCAGATATAAACAGAAGTGTCAAGAAGGAGAGAAACCCATAAAAGTTTAAACTCATGGTTTATTATACTGGAGAACAACTCTAAAATCCTAGTTAGAAGTAACATACAGCAGCTTGTCCTACAAACAGCCAGAAAGAAGCAGCTCCCCACTTTGTCTGTACTCAGCATTTGTCAGCCTACTTGGTAAAAAAGAGTAAGAAATAATTTCACAGAATTGCAAAAACTACTTTTATTGAGATTGGCTATAAAAGCAGAGAGTTGCATTTGTTTTTTTTTGTTTTTTTTTAAAATTTTTTATTATTTTCATCATAAAAAAAAGCACATCACAGATACATCACAATGTAAAAACCCCTACCCCCCACCCCCCACCCGGACTTCCCAAACCTAATCCCAGGATACTATTCAACTAAAAGTAAACTAGTATTAATATCCCTAACTCCACAAAGTATTATTCTACATAAGTAGGTGAAATATATATATATATATATATAAAAAAAGTTTTTATCTAAAAACCTAAATTATATTCCACCATTCTATGCTTATTTTGAATATAAACAATCCATCTTCTCCATATTGATAAAAAT